CCAGCTCCTCGCACGGGAATGCTCTTCTCGTCACTGTCCTCATGTCGCTTCCCCTTTTCTGCCCCCATTCCGTTCTCATGTCCCTATCCCTGTCCCTAATGCCCATCCCTGTCCCTGATGTCCCCATCCTTGTCCTTGGTACCCTCATACCCCCAATCCATCCCCATGTCCCCACCCCATCCCTAATGTCCCTATCCAGTCCCCATGTCCCCATCCCTGTCCCATCCCATTCCTACTGTCACCATCCTTGTCCCTAATGTCCTTATGTCCCCATCCCATCCCCAGCTTACACATCCCTCCCGCCCAGCTCCCGGGGTGTAAAACCCCGGTGTGCTGTGTCCTTGTTAAGATTTGATTAGTGAGAGATATCGGATGCCAAAGCCAATAGTACATATTTTATTTAACAATAAAATGTGAGGTAGAGAAAGAAGTAGAAAAGAGGAATGGGGGTGGGGAGGTGGGGGGAGAGAGGTCGGTCAAGCAGAAAATTATCACCACCCGTGGATCTCTCAGCATCTCGTTGGTCCTTCTTCACCCTGGTCTTCATGGTGGTTGGGGTCCCAAGGTTGTTGAAAACTTTTCACTATTTATACATTTTTGCAAATAAAGGCATTAATGCTCATTTGCTACACAGTTTATTTATTCCACTGGTTAAATGATTCCTTCTCTTCTAATGCTAATCCCATGCTCAGTCTTTCTCTTCTAGTTGGGTCCATGGTTGTGATCTCCCCCTGCCAGAATTACCTTTTACCCAGCTGGAGCTGATTCCATCCACCACAGTTACTTGGCTTTCCTTGTGGATTCTTTGTGTCCATTATCAGTGATACATTCTTCTTCCCCAGTTTTATTTACCACCCGTAATCTGAGATAATGCTCAGACAATAGTACCACCTTTATTTTATCTCAAATTCCTCTTACATATAATTTACATAAAAGTCTAAGGCATATTTGGCAGGGGGAAGAGGGGCTTCAGTGGCTGCAGATGCTGTCTATCCCATAACTGGGGGTGATTTGTTTGATACGTGTCTGAGCAGTTTCCCCTCCACAGTTTGTCTGGGTGTGTTATCCAGGATGTGCCAGACCAGAGCCAGTGCCATCGTGCTGCTCCCTTCTGTGCCCATCTCATGGCAAAGCCCTTCTGTGGCACCAGGCTTGGAGACAGGCAACTGTGATCTCCCAGTCCTCGCTCTTACCTGCCCTTCCTCCTCCTCTGTGCCTGCACAGGCCCTGTCCCAAAACCCTGTGACCCCAGGGCACCTGGCTGGGGGTGACACAATCTGGGGAGGTCTCAGCTGGCACCTGACACTGTGGAGGTGGCTCAGAGCTGGAGTCAGCCAGGGACTGGATGTGGATCCAGTGGAGTCCACCTGGACATGCTGGGCACCGTGCCACACCCTCCTGAGTGCCCAGGGACAGCACTGCTGTGGGCTGGGGGTCACTGCCATCATCCCCAAAAACCCATCCAGAGCCAGGGCTCAAGGTAACAGACTGCAGCAATATTTATTCCTGTACAAACAATTACAAAACATGGGTGCCCCACTGCTTCCCCCAGCACCGAGCCCCCCAAAACCCCAACCAGAGGGAAACTGAGGAATGGATTCCTGCCAAGGCCACACACCGTATTTAGGTGCTTTCCCCAGATCACCTTCTCTGCTGCTGAGAAATTAATAACAAAGTCCTGTTCCAGCCACAGGGTACCAAGAGGCACCACTGCCCCCCATTACCTGCCCACTTCTAAATTGTTTATAAGCAGCTGCTGGCCCTTTGTTATCACTAATGAGCAGCCCCTGCTCACTCCTTCATCCAGGAAACCCAAGTACAATCCCCAGGATTAGAAGCAGGGAGAAAAAAAAGCCAAAACCCCCAAAAAGCTCCCCAAAAGCCCATCTTTCAGTTAGAAAAGCTTTTGGCAGTATGGGGCACAGCGGTGCTAGGAGTGGCTGATGTTTTTGGGGTGCTGGGACAGGGAGGGTGGCAATGTTGCCCCCATGGGGTCCCACCAAAAACTGTGGGGTTCTGCTGCAGGAAGGATGACTGAGGACTGGGGATGAGGAGGCTGGGGAAGGCAGAGGGGGGCTGAGCTCCATGAGGGTATCTCCCCACCCAGATGGTTGGGGCAAACAATCTCTGTGTTGACCCCAGAAGTGGTGTAAACCAAAACTGGGCTGAGGGGACCTGGAACCCCCTTATAGGCTCACAAGGGCTGCAATGTGCATGGACCAGGATGGGGCAGGATATCATACCCAAGTATCCTGCACATGGAGGGAGGACACCCCAAATCTTACATTCACCACCTGGCCCCCAAAAACCAGCTCAAAACCCAACACATCCCAGGTGCAAGGAGCCACCAACAGCAGTGGTCCTGTGGGAGGCAGCTGGTGGCACCCTGAGCCAGGGCTCCCCCCACTCCCAGGGGGATGCAGGGGAACCCCCATCCATCCCAGCTCCAGGAGTCTACCCAGCAGGTGTGGGGCAGCCCCTAAGTCCAGGTGGGGTGGGAGAAGGTGATGTTGTAGAGGCCGGCCCAGCTGGCAAAGACCCTCTTCTCAGTGATGAAGCGGTGGTGGTTGCCCCTGCGGCTCCGCTCGTTGTGGATGTAGGTTGTGCACTCGTCGGGGCCCTTGGGCTCGTAGTAGTGGTAGGGCAGGCGGCGGGGTGGAGGGTGGTGGCTGCACCAGGGAAAGAAACATTGGGTGAGCCCCATGGTGGGGTCAGGGAGCTGGGGTGGGGGCCTGGGGGGGTCTCCTCACCCACAGTAGCTGGGTGGCACCATGCCATAGACATGGACGGCATCGCACAGCTCCACCGCGATCACCATGGTGAACCAGCCAGTGCTGAGCCACGAGCGGGACTTCTCCCTGGGGAGGAAAAACAACAGGAAGGATGACAGGGGTGAGCTGATGTGGGCAATGGACCCCCTCAGTGTCCCCAACGTGCCTCAGGGACCCCCAGCTCAATGCTGCAGCCCATGAAGCAGTTCCAAGGGTCAGCTCTGTCTTGGGAACCTGGAGAAAGGGGGGGACAGCACAAGAGGTGGCTCTGAGGTACCTGTCCTTCCCTGTCTCTCCCCGAAACAGGTCATCAAACTGCTTCATGCGGCCAGGGGAGACAACGTAGGCTGTCATGTTGGGGAACGAGGCGCAGACACGCTGGATGATCTTCAGGAGGCTCTTCTGCATCTTGGTGGGAGGCCCCCAGAAGATGAAGATGGTCTCTGGGGTCTTGTTGACGAATTCCTGGGGCCGCTTGAGGACACGGTAGAGGCTGGAGTGGGCCACCACACGGAAGCTGGTCTTGTTGCCCACATCAGCATTGTAGCCCGTGGTGGGAGCATCGTTCATGCGGATGGTGCACTCGGCCCCGTCGATGACCGTGCCCAGGTGGGTGCCCAGGAGGTGGCTGGAGCTGGTGACAATGACGCATTGGTGGCAGCGGGCAGTCAGGGTCTGGTGATGACAAGTGCCGTCAGCAGGTGACTTGTGGTGTCACCGTGGACAGGGTACTGCTCCCTGCGGAGCCACTGTGCTCGGGAGGGGACAGTTTGGCCGGATGTCAGCAGAGGGACAGACCCCGTGTCACCGCTGAGGCCCGGCCCCGCTGCCCAGCTCGTACCTTGTTCCCACAGACAGGCAGGTACCCGCTTTTCACCCCCCACTTCTTGAGGTTGGGGGGCCGGCGGGCTCTGCCCCGCAGGCGGCTGTAGGGGAAGACCTCGCTCCCGTTGCCGGAGCTGTAGATGATCAGCAACATGATCAGGGCAAAGAGGACCCCCAGGGCGGCGGCGCGCTGGCTCTGTGGGCAGGGGGAGAGCGTCAGCCGCTGCCCCCACCCCACGGGGTCAGCACCCACCCCACTCCCATGGCATTTCCAGCAGGATGCCTGCTGTCCCCAGGAGGTCCCCGGGGTGATTCTCTGGCACTCACCGCGCTGCCACTCATGTCTCCGTGCTGGCCTCAGCACGCAGTGATCCCCGGCGTCCCGAGCACCTGCGAGGCATGTGGTCACCCCCAGCCCAGACTTTTGTCCCCAGGCTGGTGGGAGTGCAGGATCAGGCGTACACAGGACAAGTCTCCAAGACCCCCTTTGAAGAGGAGAACAATCCCCCAGAATTGATGAGGGGAAAAGAAATGCTGTGGGCAGAGGCTGGGAAGACTCCGGGGTGTGGAAGAGCAACTTGTGCCTGGGGGATCCCCACGTTAAGCTGGGTCCAGGGAGAATTATCCTCCCTTTGTGGGGATGAAACCACTCAAACCACAGGGTTAGGGAGGGTTAACCTGCTGCTTGTGCAGTGAAATTCCATTAAAACCACCACCACAGGAGTCCTGGATCAGGAGGGAATGGAAGCAAATGACACCTGCCCCATTCAGCACATGCATTGGATTGCACCCAGCAGACTTGCAGGGACCTCTCCAGGCCCGGGACCCACTCTAACTTCCACTCAAAGCGGACTGACCCAGTTTAGTTTTGGGAGCCCTGGTTATTGAGCCCCAGCCATTCCGGGAGCGCTCCAAGCAAGTGGAAATTAAAAACCACCGAAGCCTCTTTACTAATTGTCACAAGGCAAATTATGCAACAGCCTGAGATCAACCCCTGGGGGGAGCTGACACCTCGAAACGCTCTCAGGGCTGGTGGTGGTGCCAGAAGGTACCAGCCCACCCGGGGAGCCCAGGCCATTGCCGGGCGTGATGATGATGGGGGGCTTCGTCGTGCGAAGGCTGGGGACGCTGTGGGACCCCCACTCCCGGACCCCACTTCGCTCCCTCCATATCTCTCGGGCCATGTGGGACCCCATGGAGGGCCTTACCTGCTGGGGACTCTCATGAGGAGTCCGTCACCTCCTGCGCCCCGCGGGCGGCGGGTGCAGCCTGCTCCCTCCAGCGGGCTCGGCCATGGCCGGGACAGGGGCTCACATTGCCGCTCTGCGGGAAAGGGCTGCTTCAGATCCAGCCCCCTTCCCCCGCCGGGGGTCCCCCAGCTCCGGATGCGAACCCTTCTGCCCACCGGGAAGGGAAAACCCGCCCGGCCCCGAGTGCCAAC